TACATATCTAGGTGATTACCTCATGCCTATGCCAATTCTGCTCACAAATGGGTGCCATTTCCTTGGTAAAAGCTTTCAACATGATTACCATATGGACAATGACACCTTCAAAATTTCCAAACATGCCAATTTTAAATTCAAACAAAAAGCTTTCACCTTTTGAAGGATTATGATGTATTTTCAATGAAATATTATGGAAAATCCACAAGTCTTATCTTTATTTCCTTTGAGATGAAGAAGCGAACCCATGGGGTATTTGATGAGAACCCACATCTAAGTTCTCACTGGGTTCTCAAAATCAAAATCTAGATGACTTCTTCGAAATCCATCTTCAATACTTTATTGAACCACAAATGAAAAACTCTTATAAAAATACTATTTCAATACTTTTAAAATTTACAATAAAATAAAAAAATTAATTTATAAAAAATTATAATATTTTTCATAAATTATAATATTTAATATAATTTATGTTTTTAAAGTAAAAAAATCATTCTTACAAACTACACCAAATAAGTTATCATTTTCAAAAAAAAAAAAAAAAAGTTATCAATTTCCCTTCGGAAAGAGACATTAAAATAAGAAAAGGGGGAAAGGTTACCTTTTTAGTAGGGCCCAAATAATATGTAGATGAACAAAGAGGAGAAAGTGCCACGGTGGTGGAAAGGGGACCACTGTAAGTGTTCAGCATGCAAAAATTAGGCAGCTAAGTTTGGAGTTAGCATACTGCTTACAGTGACGTGGCGTTATGGGTTAAATTTTAGCTCATTTATCTAATTGAAAAGGATTGTAGGGGTGATTTGCTTTTTTAATTTGAGAATAAATTTATTTGTCTTGCATAACTTCAGAGTAAATTTAGACAATTTACCTCTAACAGTCTTACCTTAACAGCTAAACTTCACAAATTCCACTATTGAAATAAGGATCATTTATTTCCCCCACATCATTTTAAAAATTGTGACAAGTCAATTAGTCCTTTGGGAACAATAAGATATCATGCCAACTTGATTTGAGTATGCATGCATGTCTACTTCTACCAATCGAACGTATTCTCTTTTTCTTTTTTCTTTTTTCTTTCAAATATAGGAAATTTTGAGAGAAGGGATGAGAATTTTTAAGTGATTGGTGGGAGTTGAATTCCTAATCTTCTATCTTTAATTTTTAACTTAATTTGATTTAACATATATAGACTTTGTATATGTATACTCTTTACAT